AGGGTTCCTCGGGCCGCTTCCGTTTCCAGGGCCGGAGGAGGAAACCCGCAGCCGCCACCTTCGCCTTCTAAAACCGAGGCCACCCGCTCCGCTGCCTTCACCAAGGCCCCGGCCCCTCATTTAATGCGGCCCCATTGCGATTATCCGGGAATTCAAGAGTTGTGTGAACTGAGCCCTCTACACAACCGTGAACCTTGGGCGGGTGCGGTTTGTGCCCGAGAGGGAATGGCTGCTTTTCAAGGCTCCCAAAGGGAATCCGCTCAAGTCTCTGATTTGTGATTCACTTTATTTCTATGCTGCCTTTCTCCCTTAAAGTAACTCAAGGCGGCTGTCAGGCGCCCAAGAAATGAACATTCAGGCTCGCCCTTCCTAAATTGTCAACATCCGGGAGCTGGAAACCCAGACCCTGTCTACCCTGCCATATAAAATTCAGATCTGGGTTATATGGCAGTGTAGACTCATAATCCATTTCAAAGCAGAGAATCTGGATTATACAGCAGTGTAGTCTCATATAATCTACTTCAAAGCAGAAAATCTGGATTATATTGCGGTGTAGGCTCATATAATCCACTTCAAAGCAGAGAATCTGGATTATACCGCAGTGTAGGCTCATATAATCTACTTCGAAGCAGAAAATTTGGATTATACAGCATGGTAGACGCATATAATCTACTTCAAAGCAGACAATCTGGATTATACGCGTAGGTTTATATAATCCACTTCAAAGTAGATAATCTGGATTATACGGCAGTGCAGACTCATATAATCCACTTCAAAGCAGAGAATCTGGATTATATGGCAGTGTAGACTCATATAAGCCACTTCAAAGTAGAGAATCTGGATTATATGGCAGTGCAGACTCATATAATCCACTTCAAAGCAGAGAATCTGGATTATATGGCAGTGTAGGCTCATATAAACCACTTCAAAGTAGAGAATCTGGATTATATGGCAGTGTAGACTCATATAATCCACTTCAAAGTAGAAAATTTGGATTATACAGCAGTGTAGACACATATAATCTACTTCAAAGCAGACAATCTAGATTATACGGCAGCGTAGGTTTATATAATCCACTTCAAAGCAGAGAATCTGGATTATATGATAGTGTAGGACCAGCCTCCATGCACTCGTGTTTGTGTGTGCGTATCTGCCCCATATGCCTTGAAACCCAAGTTTCAATTCTGCTTTGTAGAACAAATGCAGTTTGACTCCACTTTCACATCTGCACATCTACACTGACAACTTCAGTCCGTATCGACTGGGCCCCTAGGATGGTAATGATACCAATCACAGAACACTGGTGCTCATTGAAGGCTTTCTTGAGCGGATTTTTTGTTAGTTTGTTGGCCGGCAGTTTGAAGCTGGCCGGATTCGGTTCGGCCCTCATGGCTGGATGCTATGGAACCATAGGAGTTGTAGTTTGAGGAGGTTTTCAGCCTTCCCTGCCCAAGAGGTTGGTGCCTCGCCAAACTATAACTGCCATGCTTTGTGCCATGGCAGTTAAAGCGGTGTCAAACTACATGAATTCTACAATATAGATGAACCCAGGGAGGAAGGGAAAGTCCAAGGGGGAAGAAAGCGAGGATTCACCTTGTCCTCGCCGAGATGGAGGCCTGGTGCATCTAACTTCGCTTTCCCTGGAGGCGGAAAACACCCATCCTCCGCTCTCGAAGCCTTGGAGGGTGGATTGGGTGGAAAGAGGCTCCCCCCGGAGAGGAAAAGAGAGCGAAAGGCAGGAGTTCGGCGGGGAAAGAAGCCACGGGACGCACCGCGGGTTGAGAGGCCTTGGCGGGATCGGGTCCATCCTTGCTACCAAGCCCTTTGACGGATCGCTCTCTTCCCTTTTCCCTTCTCTTCTAAGGCGGCAGAGTTTGAGGAAGGGAAACGAGGAGAAGAAAGGAAGGAGACATCCGTCTTGGGTTTACAAGTTATAAACATCCGATTTACAAACAACCCATAGTTAGGGACAACAGGAAGGAAGAGAATGCTACTCCTCGGAAGGGAAATTCACTCTTGGGAGAGTTACCACGGGGAAAAGGTGTCTCCACTGAATATTTAGTATCAACTCTTGTTTCCACAATAAGCTTTTTTTCCCCAAAATCCAATCATCAGACAGGGACAGAAAGTGAGGTGAAATCTTCTGAACGGGGCACAGACAACACCAAAGCTTACTATCTATCTATCTATCTATCTATCTATCTATCTATCTATCTATCTATCTATCTTCCTTTCTTCTATCTATCTATCTATCTATCGAGCTTTGGATAGAATAGGGAGGGAAGGCTTAACAACCCTGTGGTGTTTCTCTTGCTGTCTGTGCCCCTGTCCAGAAGACTTAATCCCGCTTACTTTCTCATTCTCTCTCTCTGTCTCCGTCTCTCTCTCTCTATGGCATGACTTGAGTTATGCTTAAAATGTTTCGACTTACATACAATTTCAACAACAGAACCTATCTTGTTCGTAACTTGGGGACTTCATGTATAAGCGAACAGAGTTGACACTAAGGATCTCAGCTGGTGGCACTCCGATCCTAAATCTTGGGGTGGATCTAATGCCCTTTGGCACTATGGCCCCGTCTACACTGCCATATAAAACCCAGATGATCTGCTTTGAGCTGGATTAAATGGCAGTGTAGATTTATATAATCAGGTCCAAAGCAGATGATGTGGATTATTTACTTTGATAATCCGGATTATATGGCAGTGTCGATCCAACCCACTTAAACTGCCAAGGATCAAAACTATAGAACCCTGGGTTTTGTAGTTTGGCGAGGCGTCAGCAGAACTCTTTGGCAGCGAAGGCTAAAGACCTCGTAAAAACAGCAATCTCTGGAGTCCATAGCATTGAATCATTAATTTTAATCTGTAGATGCGCCTTTGAACGGTGCAAAAGTGGAGCTGAATGTGAAGTGGGGTGGATAGTGGAGAGACAGCAAAGCCCAGGACTCGCGTGGCGTCGCAGTGGGCTCCTCTTTGCCTGGAGGGCTGCAAGGGATAGAATTCAGTTTTCTCTTTCCCCGGTGACGCATTTCTTCTCCTACAAGGACGGTCTCCTAAGCAAACACTGGCCTGACCGTTTGGACGGTGCAACGCTGACGGATCCAGAGGAAGGCGCTTCCTGGATGCAACACGCCAAGAAGAGGAGTCGAAGCTTTAATTGCAATTAAGGAAACGCGGCTCGTGCGGGAGAGTGGGTTGCCTTAATCCATCGCTCTTGTGCGGAAAAGGAGGAGAGGGAAGGCCATTTGTGGGGCACCTACACTGGAGAACTAATCCAGTTCGACAACGCTATAACTGCTATGACTCAAGGCTATGGAATCGTGGGAGATGTCATTGTACAAAGCTTTTGCCAAAGAGTGCTAGAGTCCCACCATGATTCTGGAGCACAAATTGCGTTAATTCTACAGTGTAAACGCCCCTTTGGCCAAGGAGGAAGAAATATTCTGAAAGGCTTGAAAGGAGCCCCTAATTTCAAAACAAGTTACGTTACAACCCGTGGAAACTATTTCCAGGAAACGCTTCCCCAGTCCCCCAAGGCAGTTATACCTGGGGGGGGGGGGGGACAACAGATGTTGCTGTTGTTTTTTCCCCCTCTTAGGTTTAATCCATTTACCTTCGTGGACTCTCCGTCGAACAAACTGAAAAGACTACCTACTACTTCTTCAGCGTGCAGATACAGCCATTTGAGCGCTATTTGTGAATGTAACTTTTGCTAGAAAGCAGCTTAGTATTTTGGGGATAGCAGGGGCCTTCTTCTTTTTTCGAGGATGTCCTTCCCTTTCTAGTTTTGTCTTACAGGCTTCAACCATCTCTTCTAGGAAAGAAGAGACAGGGAGGAAAGGGGGGAGAACACGAGGAGGAACCCCTGACTCCTCATTACTCTGATGTAATTCCAATGTAAAAAGAGTCCAAAACAGAGGGGAAAGGAAGGAAAGAGGCAGCCACCTGCCAGACTTGGTCCACAGAGCTTTCTGGTCTGCTCGCTTGTTTTGGCCAAGAGAGGAAGGAGCGTGTTGTGGATGGAGGAGCACAAAAGATTTCTTGCAGAAGGGAAGAAAATACGTGGGAGAGAGGAAGGAAGGAAGGAAGGAAGGAAAAGGAAGGAAGGAAGGAAGGAAGGAAGGAAGGAAGGAAAATAATGATCATGGGGTCTGAATGTTAAGTTTTCTCTAAATGACCATCAGCTAGAAAGTTAGAGTGTAGCAGAGAGAGAAAGGGGGAGAGAAAGGATAGAAGGAAGGAAGAACAGAAGGAAAGAAGAAAGGAAGGAAGGAGGGAAGGAGGGATAGAAGGAGAGTAAGAAGGAAGGAAGGAAGGAAGAAGGGAGAGAGGAAGAAGAAAGAGAAAAGGAGGAAGAAAAGAAGAAAGGAGGGAAGGAAGGAAGAAGGAGAAAAGAGGGAAAGAAGAAATTAAGGGAAGGAAGGACGAAGGGAGGGAGAAAGAAAGGGGAGAGCGAAGGAAGAAGGGGAGGAGGAGGAGAAAAGAAAGGAATGAGGAAAGAAGGAATGAAAGGAAACAAAAGGAGGGAAGTAAAGAAGGAGAGAAGGAAGGAGCGAAAGAAGGAAGGAAGGAGAGGAGGAAGGAAGGAAGGAAAGGAAGAAGGAGAGAAGGGGGGAAGGAAAGAAGGTTGGTTGGTTGTGTGGTTTCCGGGCTGTATGGCCGTGTTCTAGCACCATTTTCTCCTGCTGTTTTGCGTGGCGAAACGTAGAAGACGGCCAGACAGCTCGGGAAACCACACCACAACCCAGCGATTCCTGCCGTGAAAGCCTTTGACAATCGGAAAGCAAGAATATCGGATTGATCTAACGTGACAAGCTGCAAACCAGAGAGAGGAAGTGAGTGGAGAACTGCAACTCATGTTGATCTAAACTGCCTGCTAGCCAGCCTTCCTAGATCCTGGATGATGCCCCGCGGAGAAGACTTGGGGAGGGCTGTCACCCCCCGGGGGGCTTCCCTTGGCCCTCCCAAGCGCTCCCCGGTCCTCGGAAGGGGACTCACCGTAGCAGGAGAGCGGGAGGGCGCCGTTGCGTCCGCCGGGCTCCGGGAGCTTGAGTCCGGCTCCGGCGGGGCTTTTGCAGGCGTTCCTCTGGCCGTAGAGCGGCGGCGGGGGTTGGGGCGGCTGCGGGTGGTACTTGCTGAAGGCAGCGGCCGAGAGCGGCTGGGGCTGCTGCTGCTGTTGTCCGTCGAGGGGCTGCGGGCACTCCGCCTGGCTGTACCGACTCCGGCACTTGGGGCTGCCCCCGCCGCCTCCGTTGTTGTGGCTGCTGTTGCCCCCGTCGCCGAAGCTTTGCCCTTTGCCGGCCAGGAAAGCGGGGCTGAACTTGTCGCTGCCTCCTCCGCCGCCTCCCCCTCCTCCTCCTCCTCCGCCGCCGGGAAATGCCCTAAAAGGCGAGGAGCCGTCGGCGCTGCCCTGCGATGGGGCGGTGTTGTAGAAGGAATCCATGGCAGCGGCGGCAGCTGGGTCGCAAAAGGCAACGCAGCCCTCGGCGTTCATGGCCCCGACTTGAAAAGGGCCCCGGCTGAGGAGAAAGCAGCGAAGTCCTCCTCCTCTTGCCTGGCCAGGAAGCCTTGCTCTGGGGCTCCCCCCTCCCCTCCCCTCCTCTCTCTCGCTCCCTCGGTCTCCTTCCTTCGCTCCCCCTCCCTCCTTCTCTCTCTCTCTCTCTCTCTCTCTCTCTCTCTCTGAGTCGGGTGAGCGAGCGCTAAGAGGATTCAGATGTGCCTGAAAGCTTCGCAGGAGAAGCCCCCGCCCTCGCCGCCCCCCAAGACCCAGAGAAAGGGCCGAGGAAGGGGGCTCTCTCCCCCTCGCCTAGCCCCCTTTCTCCCCCTCCCCTCTCTCTTCCTCCCTCCCTCCCTCCTTTAGCTGATGGACATTTAGAAGAAACTTAACATTCAAACTCTACAGTCATTATCTTATTTCCTTCCTCTTCCTCGTTTCTACGCTCCAAGGACCCTTCCACACAGCCCTGTATCCCAGAACATCAAGACAGAAAATCCCACTTTGTTTGAGTATGGACTCAGATAACTCAGTTCAAAGCAGATAGTGTGGGATTTTTCTGGCTTGATATTCTGGGATATAGGGCTGTGTGGAAGGGCCTTATGTTTCTAGCTGATGCTCATTTATTTAGAGAAAAACTTCATACTCTACAATCATTGTATTGTCCAAGGCAGCACTAAAAAAAAAACCAAAAGCCAGGGGAATTCTAGATAGGAAACAATCAGGGCCAGCTAACACCTCCCAACAAAGGATCCCTCCCAGGCACGAAGCAGCCAGGTTTTGAAGATGCAAGTTTATTCAATGCTAATCAAGGTGGCCAGTTGTGACATTCACACCTGCCTCAAGCAAACAAGAGTTCTTTCTCCCACCCTGGACATTAATCCACAGATATATAAACCCCACTTGCCAAGTTTCCAACAGACCTCACACTCTCTGAGGATGACTATCATAGATGTGGGCGAAACTACAGGAGAGAATGCTTCTGGAACATGGCCATACAGCCCATAAAACTCATAACAATCTGGGCCCCTTCCACACAGCTGACTAAAATCCCACTTTATGTACTTTGAACTGGAATATATGGCAGTGTGAACTCTGATAACCCAGTTCAAAACAGATATTGTGGGATTTTCTGCTTTGATATTCTGGGTTACATGGCTGTGTGGAAGGCCCCCTTCCTTTCTTTTTTTTATAATCTTCTAGCTTTAGAGTATAGAAAATACTTGAGAAACTGCAAATCGCTTCTGGTGTGCAAGGAAGTTGCCCAGGGCGTCTGTAAGGAAGTTGCCCAGAGGACGCCCGGATGAATGTTTAATGTTTTACCATCTTCTCTTCATGTACCCACATGGGGAGTTGGAGCTGACAGAGGGAGCTCAACCCGCTCTCCCCGATTCGAACGGAATCTGCTGACATTCAAATCCTTGCCTGCCTGCCTGCCTGCCTCTTCATCTTTTCTGTACTCTCAGCTTCTAGAGCAAACGTAACTCAGGCCTCTTCTCCACTGCTATATAATTGAGATTATTAAAGCAGATAATGCATATTATCTGCTTTGAACGGTATTAGCTGAGTCTACACTGCCATATAATCCAGGTCAACGCAAATAATCTGGATTTTATATGGCCGTGTAGAAGGGGCCACTGAAACTCTTCAGCTATGATCTTTCTCTGGCTCTTCCAAGGGGAGCTCCTTGAAGGGGAGAGGATCCTTCTAGAGCTGCTGCGTTTTAGGGCAGCCAGCCCCTCCCCCTTTTCCGTCCCCTCCCGGCCTTTCTTTCCCAACAGCCGGGAAAGTGTCTTGGTTGGACTACAACTCCCAGAATTCCCCCGAAGGATTCCCGGGCTGAGCATTAGCGTCGGAGGAAACGGCTCGAGGGAGGCAGTTATCTCAGCAAGTTCTGTATGTGAAGATCTTATAAAACTACAGCTTCCACCAGGCCCGTAGCCAGGATTTTGTTTCGGGGGGGGGGGGGGGGTGAGTTTGTGGGGGGGGGGCTGAGTCTGAGTGAAAGAGGGTCTACCCTAGCAAACCTTTTGTATCATTACCCCAATACCCCATGCATATGGGATATATTGAATATGGTGATCAGATCATGATATGAATAAACATAACAGTTTAAATAATGTACCAGTAAGGCCTTCTCGCGGACCACCATGAGAATTTCGGGGGCGGGGGCTGAAGCCCCCGGATGAAGTCCTACATGCCTGGCTTCCACGATTCCATAGCGCTGAGTCGCGGCATAATTCGACAGTGTGGATGCACCCTGAGAGAGGGACTCTGAGGGACTTTCCACACAGTACTGTATCCCAGAATACCAAGGCAGAAAATCCCATATTATCTGAGTGTGGACTCAGATAATCAAAGCAGATGTTGTGGATTTTCTGCCTTGACATTCTGGGATATAGGACTGTGGGCTTCATATACAGCTGTGTGGAAGGGGCCTGGCCGACTTGCAGGCCTTCCTCCTCCTCTTCCTCCTCATTTTCCTCTTCCTCCTCCTCTTCCTCCTCCTCTTCCTCTTCCTCCTCTTCCTCTTCCTCCTCCTCCTCTTCTTCCTCTTCCTCCTCCTCCTCCTCTCTTTTAACTCCTGCCTCCCCCTGGCGCTCCTCCTCGCCTTCTCCACCCCTCCTTTCTCCACATCTGGTTCCCATTGGGCGCCTCCTCTCCCTCGCTCGTGCTTTACCTTGAAGTTTTCAGTAATACAGATATTACACAAGCGCCATCCTCGGCGAGAAGGAGGCTTTTAATCCCTTTGTCGTTGCTTCGGGAGGTAACACACACACACATACACACACCTCAAACGCTATTACGTCTTCAGGGAAACTGCAATAACACCCAGGAGAACCGTGGCACCACCGGAAGCAAGGATTAGGGCCGAACGCAACAGGGAGATGGGATGGTGAGTCGACCCTTGTGCAACCCCCACCCCGTGAAGGAATGGGTCTCCTCGAGGGGAGAAGGGCGGCAGACCCCGTTTAGCTTCTCAGGGTGCATCTCCACTGTGGAATGAATGTAGTTTGACACCACTTGAACTCAATACTCAGTGCTCTCCAATCACAGAAGAGTCTGCTTTTACAAGTCTTTACCCTTCTCTGCCCCCCAAAAGTGCTGGACTACGACTCCCATGATGCCATAGCATTAGGCAATGGCAGTTCAGGTGTTGTCAAATTGCACCCACTCTACAGTGTAAACGCACTCATGATCACAGCAAATTATTTACATTGTGTTAGTCGCTTGGAGAGAAAAGTGGGGTATAAATAAACATAATAATAATGGGTTGCTGTGAGTTTTCCGGGCTATATGACCATGTTCCAGAAGCATTCTCTCCTGACGTTTCGCCCACATCTATGGCAGGCATCCTCAGAAGTGGTGAGGTATGTTGGAAACTAGGCAAGGGAGATGTATTGTCGAAAGCTTTCATGGCCGGAATCACTGGGTTGTTGTGAGTTTTCCGGGCTGTATGGCCATGTCCCAGAAGGGAGCCCTTTTCACACAGCTGCTCTGGTTTGAACTGGAATATATGGCAGTGTGGACTCAGATAACCCAGTACAAAGCAGATACTGTGGGATTTTCTGCCTTGATATTCTAGGATATAAGGCTATGTGGAAGGGCCCTAAGACAATGGGAAGTTGGCCTTCCTCTGCCTCACTTCGGTCCCAATCGCCACTGACAATGTAATGCAGTTTCAAACTACATTATATGGCAGTGTAGATGGGATCAGCTAAAGGGTTGAATAACCCGACAATATTAAACAGGGTTGAACTAGACATTGGGAAGGGAAGCTGGGGTCGATCTAATGTATGACCCAGGGCCCTTCCACACAGCCCTATATCCCAGAATATCAAGGCAGAAAATCCCACAATATCTGCTTTGAACTGGGTTATCTGAATCTACACTCAGATAATGTGGGAATTTCTGCCTTGATATTCTGAGATATAGGGCTGTGTGGAAGGGCCTTTAGAATGCATCAAGACTGTCGCAGGTGGACACTCCTTTCACTGCTTTGGCTTCACGCCGGCGGGATCATCATGGGTATTATAGTTTGTCAAGGTCTTTGCCCGTTTCTTTGCCAAAGAGGGCTAATTACAACTCATAGGATTCCATAGCGTGGAAGTCATGAATTTGACAGTGTGGATCCACCCTTCCTTGAGCAGAGTTTGGGAAGCTTTGAGTGGCTCCTCTTTCCCTTCTCCTCTCTATCACCTGCCTAATTCTTTCCTCATTTTTGAGGCCTTCCTTTCTCCCCTCCTTCCCTCCCTTCCTCTCTCCCCTCCCTCGAGCTTTTATGACTTAATACAAACGAAATCCGCTCAATGGCGTCGCCTCTTCCCTTAAAACCACTTCTCTCTAGCGGGGCAGCGAAAAAACTCAGAGAAAAAGGCAAGTCGGGGGATCTTGGGGTGTGGAAAGGAGGGGCGGGATGGAGGGCAATGGAGGGGGGAAAGGTCGGTAAAGGTGGCTCTGTCGCGACGGCACGGTTTGGTAGTCGCCTTGGATTTTGGAGGGTTAAGGGTAAAGGTTTTCCCCTGACATTAAGTCCAGTCGTGCCCGATTCTGGGGGTTGGTGCTCATCTCCATTTCTAAGCCGAAGAGCCGGCGTTGTCCATAGACACCTCCAAGGTCATGTGGCCAGCATGACTACATGGAGCGCTGTTACCTTTCCTCTCGCCGGAGCGGTACCTATTGATATTCTCACATTTGCTTCTGGAGGCACTCTGGGGAGGTGCTTTCTCCATTTTCAAGGAGCCTCCTTTGCCTTTTTCCACCTGAGCGGTACCTATTTATTTATTCACATTGGCATGTTTTCGAACTGCTAGGTTGACAGAACCTGGCTCACGCCGCTCCCCGGATTCGAACCTGCGACCTTTTTGTCTGTAAGTTCAGCAGCTCAGCGATTTAACCCACTGAGCCACTTACTTTCCACTAATCGGGGACTCAAACCCATTTGGTTTTTGGTGGCAGCGCCTTCAACCGCGTTTGGCTCCAACCAAGGCAGTTTGACACCAGTTTAATTGTCATGGCGCGACGCTAAGGCATGCTGGGTGTTGCAGCTTTACAAGGTCTTCTGTCAAAGAGGGCTGCGACCTTACCAAAACCACTAA